TTATATATACAAAATAGGATAAATTCACAGCTACTTTCGCTTAATTCAATGAGAAGAAAGAGGTGTACTAACAGTGTTTGGACAGAATATCCTGTCTGCTTCTTGTGTTATTGATAACCACTAAGAAGATAACAATGTACAGTGTATTGACTATCAAAACTGTCCTATTAATCAGCTGTGAAACTCTCAATCATATTTATTTCTCAATAAAAAAAATAAATATAAAAAACCCAGCAGAATCACAAGTCCAATCTGCGTAGTGAGACCCTGTAGACCCTGTATTAAAAAATAAATAAATAAATAAAAAGAGTCCCATACACAGTAAAGATCTACAAAGACTACTCCACCACCCTCACAATCAGAAGTCCCTACCTGTCACAGCTTAGGGTTTTGCAAGGGGAACCAATACAATACAGGACAACTACAAGATTATTTTATAATGAATCACACCCAAAGAATCATACACAAAGAGTGCAGGAAATCTGTTCATACAACTAAAGACCAGAGAATCCAGCTCAGGGCCAGGATCTCAGGGTAATGTCCTGCATGAGTCCAGCTGAACCTAGAGCCCAAAACAATACCTCCCACAAATCCAACTGGAGATCTGGAGCCCACGACAAGGTGTCGGGTAGGCCAACTTCACAGATCTGTGCTGGGAAGGCCCAAAGCTCAATGGTGAAAGCTAGAAAGTCTATGCCAGCAGGACAATGGATCTATGTTAGCAGACTGAGGGATCTGAACTGGAGCCATCATGCAATGCTCAAAGTAAGAACCAGAGCGCCCCTGAGAAGCACTACAGCCATCCTTAGTGACAGTGAGAGCCCAAGTTCCTCCAACAATGAGGAAAGCTGAGTTCCCATCAGGAAAGCCAACAAGACAAGCTTCTCCATGAGGCTGAGCAATATACCATCTTCCCCTCTGGAGCCAGGACGCAATGCTTAAAATGAGGACCAGGGCTCCCCCAAAGTGGACTATAGCCATTCTCAGTGATAACAAGGTCCTGAGCTCCTTCAACGATGAGAACAGCAGAGTCCATTAGGAAAGCCAACATGACAAGTTCCTCTAACAGCTCCCTATGGCCTCCCTAACAGCTTCTCCTCTTCTCCAGTTCTGCCTCTTATGCTGCTGGCAACAAATCTCAGGTGGGCCTCCCACACCCAGTACCACAATGGCTCGTTTAGCTAGGTGTTACAAATATGCATCAGGTGTCAATCCACCACACTGCCCATCCCTGAATAACACACTTGACAACCCAGATCTTTGGACCAGACAACAGCCAGGTCAGAAAGAGAAGTATGGATTCAAACATTTAAATATCACATGCTTAGGAGGCCATGCTAGCAACTCCAAGAAAGAGGATACCTTAATGCTGAGGTTCAAAAGTCACTAAATGAGATGGGAAAACCAGGATCTTATCTGTTTTCAGGCTAAGAAAACACACCATTCCAAACAAACAGTAATACCTGGGTGAGACAACACACACCTGTAATCGCAGCCCTTGGGAGGCTGAGGCAGGTGGGTCACCTTAAGTGTGATGCCAGCCTAAACTACATGTAAACCCTATATCAAAAAATAAATAAGGGGCCAGGGAGATGGCTCAGTAGAATAAGCACTTGCCTGGCAAGCACAAGGGCCTGAGTTTGATCCCTGGTTCCAAAAAAAAATTAAATAAATAAATAAAACATATACTAACAATCATAACATGTCTAAATCTTGCAGAGACATCAAGATGCAGTAACAGCATCTATCTAGAAGAGTGGACAAACTTTCAAAGAAACTCTCAATACCGGACGACTAGCGCTACCTCAGAGAAAAGCAAAAGAGGGTGATCTCCCAGTCTTCACACACAGTCACAGCCATATAATTTAGGTTTCTTTGGTTTGTTTGGGCACTACTAGGGATGCAACCCAGGGGTAGTCTACCACTGAGCTGTGTCCCTATCCCTACCCCCTTTTTTTGTTTTGTTTTGTTTGAGACAAAGTCTCACTATGTAGCCCACGCTGGCCACGTGGGCTACATATCTGGCCTTGGCCTCCCCAGTGCTGGGATTAACGCACCCCACACCTTTTGGAGACAGGATTCAGTCAATAAATTGTCCAGGCAAGGCTTGAATTTGGGATCCTTTTGCCTCAGCCTCCACAGCAGCTAGGATTACAGGCCAGTGCTGATGCATTTAGTATAGGTCTTCAATTTATACTCTCCAAGGTGCTTGCAAGAATCACCTTACCTCATTTGAACTTTACAACCTAGGTAACACATCATCTTTTACATGGATGGAAAGTAACAGGCTAAAACAACGCGCACGCCCACACAACTTATGTCGTTTATGCGCAGGCTTCAAAAATTCGAAGCAGAGCCAATCTTTCCCTGGATGTATTTCCCTGGCTAAGTTAAACATTATTTTAAAAAAAATTATAAACCTCAGGGTCCCCATCTGCAATAAAGTACAGTAAGGTCTGTAAGGCAAATTAAAAAGATGTTCCTTTAAAAGGATGCAACCGCACGCCAGAAACGTAGTGAGTGTGCACAGGAAATTTTTACTACTATTGTTAACAATAACCGGCAGGGACTTTCCGTTACAAGTCTCCTCAGTTACAGTCTCTCCGGAACTTGCACCACCCCTCACCCGCGTCACCTCGGACCTATTCCCCCGCCGCCCCGCGCCCCGGGCCTCCCCCACGGACATTCCCCTCCTCGCTCAAACCTTACCACTAAGAGTCTCCCTTCTCAGATTCAGCTATGAAGGACTTCCGCTCGCACCCGCCTCGCCAGCACCCCCGTCAGGCCCAGGTATCCCCGCGGGCACCCAGGCCGCACACCAGCAGCGGGCCCGCGCCGGTTACCTGGCCGCGCGCTCCCCAGGGTCGCACCTCGCAGAGGGCCCGCGCCAGCACTGGCAAAACGCAATTAATTTAAACTACGGCCCCGCCCTCTCATGCGGGCCTCTGATTGGCCCCGGTCGGCAGCAGTCGTTCGCAGGTACTCTGGAGGACCGCGGAGGAGGAAACGTGAGGGTTACTGGGAACGGAGGAGGGCTGTCGCCTCTTCCGGATCCCATCCCCAATTTATGGGCGGGCCAAAGGAACTGCGACTCCCAGCATGCCCCGCGGCCTTCGGGTCCTACTAGGCGCCGTGGCTGCGCTCACGGCTCGGATGACGAAGGTAGTTGCCGTGGAGTTGCGCGGAGTAACCCTAAATTAGTGGGACTCAGAGCCTGCGAGGGAGGCGCTTGCGGGTGAGTTAGAGGGGAAGCAGGAAACCCACTCAAAGGCACAGGAGCTCCCTGGAGAGAGAGGGAAGGGGCTCCACAGAAAGACTAAACTTATCTGATGCGCCATTCACTGTCTTAAAAGTTCTTCCAATTTCTTTGTCTACTTTCCATCTCAGTCTATAGCCTCTTCTAGGGTACTCCGTGACACCCATAACTTCATTGGCCACCTGTACGCAGACTTACGCAAGTGTGTATGTCCTGCCCAGCCCTCTTAAATTGCAGATCTGTATAACTAGTTGTCTCCTAGATATCTCCTTTGGGGTATCTCAAAGGCAACCCAGTTTTAACATTTCACTGTGTACCCCGCCGCTCTGTTCCAAGCCTGATCTTCCGTTACCACAGAATATGCACAAACTAAAAATCCAAGAGTTATCCTTAATACTCTATCTTTCATTTGTCATGAGTTCGTGTAGGCTTTGCTCTTTTGTTGTTGTTGTTTTGTTTTGCTTTTTTGTTTTTTTCGAGACAAGTTCAGGGTCACCTTGAGCTCACTTTATTATCCAGGCTGGTCTCCAAGTCGCAGTGATCCTCTTGCCTCAGCCTCCCAAGTGCTGGGATTGCAAACGTGTGCCACCACAGGTAGGCCTTACTTTCTCAAAAAAAAAGACAAGAAATAGGTTGGCGGGAGCCTGAGGTTCTCTTTGATACCTGGGACTGTATTTTTTCCCAGATTTTATGTCCCAAATTTTCTCATAATGTACTTTGATTTATCTTCCACCTGAAGCCCATAAGCTGTCTTTTTTTTTTTTTTTTTTTTTGAGACAGGGTCTCACTATGCAGTTCAGGCTGGCCTTGAACTCACTTGGTAGCCCAGGCTGGTCTTAAACTTGCATCGATCCTCCTGCCTCAGGCTTCGAAGTGCTGGGATTACAGGTGTATCACTACACCCAGCCAAACTGTCAATCCCTTTGATTTTTTCACCTGATTATATCTTAGTGGTTATTGTTGCTGCCTTCCTGAGAGGGGCCAGAAAGGGGCTAGTGACAAATTAAATTCCAACTTTCCAAATGGAAATCAATGTCTGTCAATTTAAGATTGGTTAAATAAACTTAAGTAAATTAAATTAAAGTATGATACATAACATGGAATACACTTCAGCTGTTACAGAGGTAAGACAGTTAATAATAAGTTTTTACAAAATAATTCAGTGTTAATGTTAAGATACATGCATTCTAGGTCCGGGGAGATGGCTCAGTAGAACAACCACTTGCGTAAAGGCCTGAGTTCAATCCCCGGTTCTGAAAAAAAAAAAAAAAAAGATAAATGCATTCTAGCAGGTAACAGTCCCAAACTTTATGGAGATTCACACTTCGTTTTCAAAGACCTTGTACTTTCCCCCACTTCTTTGTGAGGCTGAGAATCAAACCCAGGGCTTCGTACATACCAGGCAGACACCCAACCAGTGAACCAAACCCTCAACCCTGCTGCATGTACTTCTCTATGTTGTTTGATTTGATTTCAACTATCATGTCAACTTTCACCATTAAAAAAAAAAAAAGAAGTTAAAAAAAAAAAAACAGGGAGGGGCCAGGGAGATGGCTCAGTAGAATAAGCACTTGCCTGGCAAGCGCAAGGGCCTGAGTTCAGTCCCCAGATCTGACACAAAAAAAAAAGTCACAGCTAACTTCTGTTAGTGCAGCTCTCCAAATTCCAATGTAGTCTGGGCAACTTAGTGTTTTGTCTTCTACCTGAAGTCCGTGAGCTGTCAGGTTTTTTTTTTTGAGACAGGGTCTCACTATGCCTCAAAACAAAAAGGGTTACCCTTCAGAGTTTTCTGAGTCACTACTTTAGGAGTGAGCAAGTCAGGTCTTAACTGTAGCAACCTCAGGTCCCTCTTTTTTGTAGTATTACTGTTGCAGTTTCTTAGATAATTATTAAATCCTTCTACTTGCTACAATGTACAACTGTTAGTAAAAACTTGAAGAAAAAAAAAAAAAACCTTGGTTCCTGTCCTGGTGGAAATTCATGAAAAAGCCCTGGTCAATCCCTACTACCACCATCAAAAAAAAAAAAAAAAAAAAAAGTTTGTTTTGTTTTGTTTTTACAATTTTGAAGAATTTCCCATTGAACATGCTCTCAAATATGTAGTATGTAACATTTTCTAATAGATTCTGCTAAACAACAACAATAAAATCCAATTCAAATCAAGTGCCCCTAGCCCTGTCATTTGCTAAGTCAGTCTGGTCAGATGAAGGTGCTGGACTCTATCTCCAGGTCATTAGCCAGAAGAGCAGGGAAAGACTGACTCCAAAAACAAAGCCATAGGAATGTAGCCTCCCAGCTTTGTCAGGTCTCCCCAGAAGTCAGACCCTGCATGTGATACCTTATAGACCCGATTTCTTATTTTCCTTTTTATTGTTGTTTTTGTTTTGTAATGTTTTTTGAAACAAGGTTTCAGTGTATAGTCTAGGTTGGCCTTAAACTCACTACATAGCCCAGGTTGGCCTTGAATTTGCATCAGTCCTTCTGTAATCAGCCTCCTGAGTGCTGGGATTAGAGGTATAGACTATCATGCCAGGCATAAAAACTACATTTATTCCTACATTTCTTCTTTCATTTTTCCATTTATCCATTTGCCCATCAAACCATTCGTTAATACCTGGTTTTTGCCAAACTCAGTGAAGAATAATTGGAGAAGCAGAGAAAGAAATCTGATTTCTTGTCTGTGCCCTCAAATTTACAGGAAGGGAACAGAAAATAGCCTAAAGAAGAGTACAACTGCTTCCATTTATTCCAAGGGGGAGTTTGTCTTGAGTTCATAGATAATGGGCTGTAATGAAATTCTGTCCTGGGCCAGGGAAATGGCTCAGTAGAATAAGTGCTTCCCTGGCAAGCGCAAGGACCTGAGTTCAATCCCCCGTTCTGCCAAAAAAAAGAAAAGAAAAAAAAAAGAAAGAAAGAAAGAAATTCTGTCCAAAGTATAAAGGGGTGAGCATCAGGCATTGCTGTATGACAACCATACCCCCAAAAAAGAGAGTGGCTAAAAACAGTAACCATTTACCCCTATTTACCCTTACTTCTAAGCCTCTGAGTCAGCTGGATGGTTCTGCTGGCCATGGATGGGCTCACTGATTCACCTGCAGCCTCCTGTGCACTGGCCTGCTCTCCTGATCTTGCCCAGAGGTGTGCTCAGCACTGCCCTCACCTTCCATCAGCAGGCCACCCTGTTCTTTCATCAAGACACTGACAAGGAGCAAGACAGTATGCCCCCCTTTAAAGCTTCTGTTGGGCTGGGAATTTGGCTCAACAACACAGTACCTGCCTGGCCAAGTATGAGGTCATAAGTTCAATTTCTGGTACCAAAATAAAAAAAAAGTTTCCTGTTTGCTGCATGTCTCTCAACAGCTCTCTGGCCGGAACAAGTTACACTGCTGTGTCCAGCACCAGAGGGGATGGAACTATGTTATACGACAAAAATAGAATAGATGCATAAATAGGGATCAGCAAAACAATCACTAACACAGGACACATTGACCAATTTTATCTGGCAGAGAGGTAGAAGAAGGTACACCACAGCTGAGTGTCAAAACATGAATGTGAGGGCTCAGCAGATTAAAGTGCCTGCAAGCAGGCACAGGGGCTAGGGGCTTGATCCCTGGGCCTGCCGTGCTGGCCCCGCCCCCCAGGTTGTGCTAAAATGGCAATTGAGACTGGGCCTGGTGGTGCCCGCCTGTAATCCCAGCTCTTGGGAAGCTGTAAACAGGTGGATCACTACAAGTCAAATCTAATAGTGAGACCCTGAACACCCTGCAGACCCTTCCCTAAAATACAAATAATAATAATAATGTAGTCAATGAATAGGCAGCTATTACTCAAAACTGGATCCAGGCAGCTTTGCCACGATCAGTAGAAACCCAGCAGGTCTTTTTGTTCTTGTAACAGGGTTCTGTTATGTGTATCTTGGCTTCATTCCTTTTGGTCAAGCACAGGGCAGCAGGTACTCAACACATGTTTGCAGAACTGAATTGATACCTTACTATAAATGAAATGAATGAAATAGTTGAACCTGGGAACCAATAGTTGGAAGAGGGTCGGCAAGATACCTCAGCCAACTAAACGCCTATTTAGGCAAGTACAGTGACTAGGGTTGAATCTTCAGTACCACATGCTGCACTGGCCCAGCTCCCAGTTGTGCTGAACTGGTGACTGAGTCTGGGTAATCTCAGCACTAGGGAGGCTGAAAACAGGAGGATCTACGAGTCCATGCTACGTAGTGAGACCCTACACCAGGAAAAAAAAAAAAAAAAAAAAAAATGGAACAGTTTTACATCAACTCTTCCAAAATAGAAATCCTTGTATTGAGTAGCTTCTCCTTTTTCATCCCACAAACATCTGTGCCTGTTGTAAACCAGGTTGTATGTAAGATGATAAGTAAAATATACTAGCTCACAGCCTGGGCTACAGGGTTTTTTTGTTTGTTTGTTTGTTTGTTTTTTTAATTTATTTTGTGTGTGGCCAGCTCAGCCCACCAGGGGGCAGGGCTGGCTGGCATGTGGTGCTGGGGGATTGAACTTGAACTGTGGTCCCTGTGTTTTGCTTAGCTTAGCTTGTTCTAAGTAGGTGCTCCAGACCACTGAGCCATCTCACCAGCCCCTGTTTGTTTTATTTTTTTTAAATTTTATTTATTTATGTGTGTGTGTGTGTGTGTGTGTGTGTGGCCAGCTCAGTCCACCAGGGGGCGGGGCTGGCTGGCACGTGGTGCTGGGGGATTGAACCGCGGTCCCTGTGCTCTGCTGAGCTTGTTCTAAGTAGGTGCTGTAGACCACTGAGCCATCTCACCAGCCCCTGTTTTTGTTTTTTTTGAGACAGGATTTTGCTATGCAGTTCAGGCTGGCCTTGAACTTACTTTGTAGCCCAGGCTGGCTGTGAACTGCCAGCAGTTCCTACCTCAGCCTCCTGAATGCTAGGATTACAGGCCTGTGACACACAAGGCTTTATCCAGCTTCTTGAAACCCCATTTTTAGTACTGACTCAAAATCCATTAGAAGCTGGTGCTGCACAGAATGAATTCTTAGGAACTGCGCTGAAGTTTTCTGGTCACCAAGGAGATTAACAGTAAAAATCTACCCATCTTTTTTTTTTTTTTTTGCTGAACCGGGGATTGAACTCGGCCCTTGCACTTGCCAAGGGAAGCGCTTATTCCACTGAGCCATCTCCCTGGCCCTACTCATCATTTTTTTAAGCTAAAATCCATGGTAGAAAACTCTTGAGATTCCAACCTAGGACTGTCTTTGAGAAAAGTAAGCAGGTACCAGGTCTGTTGTAGGTGCTGCAATGCCTAGGTTTATTTCAGCTAGATTCCTCAATTTCTGTATTTGGTATAGGGTCTCACTATGCAGCTCAAATTCATGGTGATCCTCCTGTTTTCAGCCTCCCTAGTGCTGGTATTACAGGTGTGCACCACCACACCCAGGCTGTTGCTGGCTCAGTGCACATGGGGGCGGGGGGGGGCGGGGGCAGCGCAGCATATGGTGCAGAGAATCAACCCTGGTCCTTGACTGCTTGTAGACTAACACAAATACCAGGTATGGTGGTGCACACCTGTAATCCTCCACTTGGGAGGCTGAGGCAGAAGAATCATGCATTGAAGGCCAACCTGGGCAACACAGTGAAACCCTGTCTCAAACAACCAGAGCTCAGTGTGTTAGCACGTATCTGTAATCCCAGCACTTGGGTGGCTGAGGCAGGAGGATTGTTATGAGTTTAGAGCTGGCGTGGGCTACAGAGTGAGATCCTCTCTCCAAAACCCCCTCAAAACCAAATCTTTATGCAATAAATGAGTCTTCACATGTGTGAGAAAGCATGTCAGTTGATTAGGCCTGTGGCCCATTTGTTCCCACAAGCTCTGTTCCTTTGCTTGAGGAATCCTTTTTCATGGCCCACTCTGTATTTTCCTTCTTGATCATGCCTTGCCATTTTCTTCTCTGTTCCCCTCACCACGCAGCAGGGGAGTTAAGACTGGATCTCATTATGTAATCCAGGTTGGTCTTGAACTCATTATGCAGCCCAGGCTGGCCCTGAACTCACAGAGATTACAAGTGTGTGCCACCATGCCCAGCTCCTTCTCTATTCTTGCTTGGCTTTCTGTCCTTAAGACTTTGTGTCTCTGGCGAGGGGCATGGCCATCTCCAGGGCAGAGGAACTCAGGTTTCTGCACTGTTGCTCCCTGGTACCAGGCTCTCTCAGCACTGCATTCGTGGCTTCTTTGGAGACCACTCTGGGCCACCAGTGTCAGTCTCCAGTTCCGACTCTGCAGCCCTGCCAGTCCATGGCCTGTCTGCAGATGTGTTGTACCAGGGACTGAGATCTCCCTAACCCACAGCCTGTGTCCAAGGGACCAGTCCTGCAACTGTCTGAGAACTCAGCTGTCACCTAACTCAGGCTAGCACCTGTCTGAGGTCAATGGAGACTGCTGCTCTTTGAGAGCAAGGCCTTCCCTTTCTATCCCTTGAAACCTGCTAAACTGAACTATGTTAAGCCTAAACCAGAATCAGGTCTTCAGCTTTTAACAGAAGTTCTGTTTTAAGAATTTTCCATCTGAGGGCCAGCCAAATAGCTCATCGGATTAAAGTGCCCACAAACAGACTCAGGGGCTGGGCGTTCAATCCCCGCACTTATGGTGCTGGCCCCACCCCCAGGGTGACTGGCTGTGGAGGCGCACACCTGTAATCTTGGGAGGTTGTAAACAGGTGGATTACTATAAGTCTGATCTAGTAGTGAGACCTTGAACACCCTGTAGACCCTTCCCTTAAAAAAAAAAAAAAAAGTGCCATCTGGCTGGGGATATAGCTCAGTCGCTTAGGGGTCTGCCTAGCAAATACAAGGTCCCAAGTTCAATCCCTGTTACCTCAAAAGAAAGAAAGGAAAGGAAAGGAAAGAATATTTGCTATCTGGGCATGGTGGCACATACCTGTGATCCCAGCACTCTGAGAGGCTGTGACAGGAGGATCACAAGTTCAGGTGCAGTTGGGGAAACACCTCAATTTAGTGAAACTCTGTCTAAAATAAAAATAGTTTTAAAGGGGCTGGCTGTAGCTTAGTACAAAGGCCCTGGGTTCAATCCCCAGTATACAAAAATAAATAATATTTGTTAATTTTAGTGTCTCTACATACAGACTAATTTCTCCTCTGAATCCAGTGATAAGAACCACATATCCCAAGGTGTCCCTTTTTGCTTTGGCTACCAGGAATGTCACAGCTAAAAATAAGCATAAATATTTAAAGTCTAGATATCTTTTAATTTCTACATCTGTAATGTCCATACCGTAGTCAGCTGATCCAAATTGTAAGTGTAAAATATTTCAAAAATTTCTAATAGTGATTAAGTGTGAATACTTTAGATAAAATAGTGATTACATGTGAATATTTTAGATATATTAGGTTACATAAAACATGTTAATTTTACCTCTTTCATTTTACTTTCATTATGGCTCCTAGAAAACTTTGATTACATAGCTAGGCACAGTAGTACACACCTGTAACCCCAACACTCAAGAGGCTGAGGAGAAAGGATCCCTGCAAGTCTGAGGCCAGCCTGAACTACATGGGAACACCCTGTCTCAAAAGAAAGAAAGAAAAAGAAGGCCAAAAGAAAACATGGGTTATGTGGGCAACTTTTTTTTTTTTTTTTTTTTTTTGCGGAACCGGGGACTGAACTCAGGTCCTTGCGCTTGCCAGGTGAAGTACTTATTCCACTGAGCTATCTCCCTGGCCCGGAAACTATTATATGAGGTTTGCACGTGTAACTTTATTCCTCTTTTGGACAGCACTGTTTTACAAAACATCCTATTTGGGGCTGGTGAGATGGCTCAGTGGTCTGAGGCACCTACTTAGAACAAGCTTAGCAAAGCACGGGAACCGCGGTTCAATCCCCCAGCACCACATGCCAGCCAGCCCCGCCCCCTGGTGGGCTGAGCTGGCCACACACACACACACACACACACATTAAAAAAAAAACAACATCCTATTTGATGAGTGTATAATTATGCTAAACTTCATCCAACATCAGATTTTCTTTTAATTTCTGCATCTACCATGTCCATATAGCAGTCAACTGATCCAAATTTCAAGTGTAAAATATTTTCATTCCAACATCAGAAAAGGAAGGTTGATTTGGTGTCTCATTTGTTATAAGACAGAGTTCCAGGGCCTGGGGAAATAGCTCAGTAGAATAAGTGCTTGCCTGGCAAGTGCAAGGGCCTGAGTTCAATCCCCAGTTCCAGGAAAAAAAAAAAAAAAAAAAAAAAAAAAAGACAGTGTCCTGCTATGTAGCTGAGGCAGTCCTTGAACCATGTAGCCCCAGTTTGTCTCAAATTTGCACTGATCCTGCAGATTACAGGCATGCACTACCATACCACACCTGGCTGGTTTTCTTTTTTGATACAGGGTCTAGGTTTTTCGAGGCTAGCCTCAGCCTCCTGAGTAGTGGGGCTATTGCTCTTTTGTTTATATGATTAACATGCTAAAAACCCCGTGGTAAAGTGTCTTCAGTTCTCTTCATTTCAGGTGAGTAGTCCATGACTCTCCCTAGTCTCCAGGAAAAACCTGTTCTCAACTTTCTATCAGCTAACAAACTGGAATCTGATAGGACAACTTGCACCACACTGCAAATGACTGATAACTTTTGTGTTCACCCCTCTTGGGGAGTATTTCCATTTTAACAGGGAACAATCCCTGAACCCAAAGGAATGAATCTCTAATGGTGGAGTTTCAGGCATCAGTGACAGGTGAGTGTGAGAGGCAAACTCTGGTTTTGTGTGTGTTTGTTGCCTGGCGCCACACTCAGGATGTGGATGCAAGTAGGGTCTTCGATGGAGAGGGATGGAGACTGGTGGACAAGGGGGGCCAAGAAGGTGGCACATCTCCAGCTGGGTCAGACCACCATGAGCCCTCAGATGCAAGCAGACCCAGCACAGCATCTCAAGGGTTTGTTAAGCAACACAGTAGCCCAGCTGATGTCACCAGAGGGCAGGTATAAAGAGGGTCTCCATGGTAACTACTGTGGAGTAGCGGAAAAGCTCAGAGGAAGATTCAGGGGACTGGGACTGCAGTCTCCACCTGACTCACTGGCTTAACTCTGGGCAAGTCCTTTACCCTTTGGGTCTCATTTCTCCATCTAGAAAAATAGAAAATGGAGTTACAGTTGTCAGAGGAGTTCTAAGAGATAGGAACGTGCTCTGAAGAGCAAGTCCTCTCCAAATGCAAGAAATGATTACTGGCTGGGGAGATAGCTCAGCGGTCTAAGCACCTGCCTGGCAAGTACAAGGAACCAGGTTTGATCCCTGTCTACTACATGCCATGCTGGCCCCAGGTGCTGAGCAATCTTAGTAGGGTACAGTGGGGCAAGCCTGTAATCCCAGCAGTCAGGAGGCTGAGGCAGGAGGATCTTTGTGAGTTTGAGGCCAGCCTAGGCTACATAGTGAGTTCAAGGCCAGCCTGAACTACATAAGAACCTGTCTCCAAAAAAAAAATTTTAATAGCTTAAAATGGAAATGCAGGAACTGGGGAGATGGCTCAGTGGAATAAGCACTTCCCTGGCAAGTGCAAGGGCCTGAGTTCAATCCCCCGTTCTGCAAAAAAAAAAAAAAAAAAAAAAAAAAAAGGAAATGCAGATAGGCAGGCATAGAGTAATAGAGGGATCAAAAGTAGAGCTGGAGGGTTACAAGTAAAGTAGGGGTGGGTGGCCCTTGTACCTGGAAAACCCATCCTTCTCTCTCCTCTCAGGCTGCACCCGAGACTCTGGGCTGGTGCTTGCAGGTGCTGAATGATGGCCTGAACTATGAGCAAGCAGGACTACATGAACACTTCGGTGCAGGAGCCTCCTCTTGACTACTCCTTCAAAAGCATCCATGTCTTCCAAGGTCAGCCTCACAGGGCAAGAGGCCCAGTGTGGTCCCTAGGAAGAAACCAGTCTTCTACTTAAAAGACTGAAGTGCTTTTTTTTTTTTTTTTTTTAATGTATTTGGTTGTTGCAGGGTCTCACTACACAGCTTGGATTTGTGATCCTCTGCTTTCAGCCTCCCCAGCACTGGGATTCCAGACATGCGCCACCATGCCTTGACTCAAGTCTTAGCCCTGCAGCATGTGGTGCCCGGGATCAAACCACCATGTCTGTGCTTGCCTAAGCAGGCACTTTAGTTCACTCAGCATCTGCCATCCCGTGTGCTTCTTCCTATATGCTTGTAGATTTGTTGTTGCCATTGGAGAGTAAGAAGTGTTTGGTTTTGTGGTGCTGGGGATCAAACCCCATCCTGGGTAAGTTCCACTGAGCTATATCCCAACTCAGGAGTTTGTTTGGTTTGCTTTTTTTAACAGTAAATCTGAGGGCTGGCCAAATAGCTCAGCGGATTAAAGCGCCCCTGCAAGCAGGCACAGGAGCCGAAGGTTCGATCCCCAGGCCTGCTGCGCTGGCCCTGCCCCCGCCCCTTGGGCGTGCTGGGTGACATTTGAGACTGGGCATGGTGTCACAGGCCTGTAATTCCAGCACTCAGGAGGCTGTAAACAGGCAGATCACTACAAGTCTGATCTAGTAGTAACCCTGAACACCCTGTAGACCCTTCCCTAAAAAATACAAAAAAAACAAAAACAAAACAAAACAAAACCACAGCAAATCTGAAGGGAACCAGAGGCCTCTTAAGAGTAGGTGACCATTTTAAAAAGAAGCCAAACAGCAGGGTGTGTGGGGGTGTACATCCATAGTCCCAGCACTGAGTTCAAAGCGAGCCTGAACTATAGAGTGAGACTCTGTCTCAAAACAACAAAACAAGCACCTCTTAGGCAAGCACAGGGACCAGGGTTCAATACCCCACACCACATGCAATGCCAGCCCTGTACCCTGGCGTGCTGAGCCTGCCACTGAGACCAGGCGTGCTGCACACCTGTAATCCCAGCGCTGGGGAGGTTAAAAACAGGATCACTACGAGTCTGAGCTGCATAGTGAGAACCTGCACCAAATATATAAAAAGGAAAAACAAAAACAACCCCCCCCCAAAAAAAAAAAAATTTAAAGGGCCTGGGAAATACAAGTCAATGCAAAGATCCTGGGTTGAATCTCCAGTACCCCTAAGCACCCCCAAAAATGAGCAGGTAAGTACAATAGCACATGACTATAATCTCAGCTACTTGGAAGGCTGAGGCAAGAAGACCACAACTTTGAGCAGCTTAGGGAGACCTTGTGTCAAAATAAAAAACTGCTGAGTATGTAATATTCCCTAACTTTAATCTCTAGTGCAGAGAGAAAAAAGAAAACCGGGACATCAATCTATCAGCCAATAGTATTTTATTCGCTTGTTTTTACCTGAAAAGAGGAAACTAGTGAGCAGAAACTACAGGCTATTGCAGAATTCTAGCAAATTGGAAGAACTATTTCCTTTATCTAGGAACACAGGTCTGTTCTGATCACTATTAAAACACAAGAGAGATAAATTACTAATAAGCTGTCATGTTTCCAGTTTAAATATTTATTGGCAAATTCCAGCCATGCAGTTTTTTGTTTTGTTTTGTTTTGTTTTGTTTTGTTTTGTGGTACTGGGGATTGAACTCAGGCCCTTGCACTTCCCAGGCAAGAGCTTATTCTACGGAGCTATCTCCCCGGCCCCAAGTCATGCAGTTCCTAACACTGCCCACACTCACTCCCCTTTACCACTGTCTTCATAAATGGGCAGCCGACACCCTTTCGGAGGCCACAGGAAATAGGCTCTGTGCAGTGCCAGACTGGAGGAGTCAGCGGTTCTTCCCAGCTTCTGCCATTCCTGGCTTTGTTACCCATCCTGACAGAATACATGTTCACACCCACTATGTTCTACTCATTATTGGGCTTTGATCTTCTGTCAGGAAGCCGAACTACTTGTAAGCTCTGGAATGCCGAACCTTAACCTTGGGTTTAAAGTTAGCATCAACCACAGCTGTAACTCACATCTGACGTCTCCCCAGCACATACCTATCTACTGTGATCTTTGTGTACTGAGCCCATCATTTCTGACTGATGTAGTCCACATTTCAAAAGGGGTTCAGATATAGTAATGGCTATGTGCAAGGTGACTGAAGTGACAAGTATGTGAGTGGGGTATAGAGCTCCTTCTCACCGTGGAAATTTCCAGCTCTGAGAGTTATGTGGCTCTTCTCCCTGAACTCAGAATGAAACAAGCTACTACTACCAGAAGCATCTTGACTAGGCATTGTGGTGCATGCTTGTAATCCCAGTACTCAGGAGGATGTGGCGGAATTGTGAATTTGAGGCTAGCCTCAACTACATGTGAGTTCAAGGCTAGCCTGAATTACAGAATGAGGCCCTGTCTCAAAAAAAACAAGTCTCTACAGCATAAACCAGAATACATACACAGGCCTTGTTCACTTAATGTCAGTGTTCACTGAGCACCTATTGAACATTGCTGTGTGTGTATACACACAAGAAAGTGTGCACCTTGCTAAGTGTGTGTCAAGGAGTAAGGGAAAGAGGCATAATCAAAGTCTCCAAAGGCCAGAGTCCCTTCAGTTCCCCAGAGCTTTGGAAATTTATCACTAGGATCAAAGGATAGGATACAATTTGGGGGTACTTGGGATACTTTTTTAAACGAATCAAGATGGGTCATAGCATCTGGAATGGTGGTGGCTTTAACAAACCATTTAGGGGGCCTGCCCCTTAGCTCAGTTCTTTAAGTGGCTGCTTCAACAAAGCAGTCAGGCTCAGGTTGCTGTGGTTCGATCCCCACAACACAAGACAGCCAGTCATGCCTTGAAGGCATTCGGCGCAAAAAAAAAAAAAAAAAAACCAAATCATTTAATTTGTACTTTGATAAAGCTAAAGCTTGGAGAATGTCACCTAAGTATGGACTGATCCCACCTGCAACCAACAGTCCCCAACTTCTATTCACAAACCTAGTGTTGAGTGTCCCCCACCATACACACCAACACTCATTATGGGCTTGACGACAGGCGATTCTTCATATCAGGCTGACTTCTGCCTCCAGGAACACATGGAAAAAGCTGCACGGCAGACCTTCAGAGATGACAAGATGGTTTCTCCTGGTCCTTTTGGAACTTCCCAGTACTGTTGATGTTTGTGGTCTGATTTCCAAACCTGGATTGGCCTGCTCTTAACAAGGAATCATTCTCTTTTTTTGGTAGTACTGAGGACTGAACCCAGGATCTTTGCACTGAGCTACATTCTTACCCCTTTTTTGAGACAGGGTCTCGCTAAGTTTCCTAGTCTGAACTTGCAATTCTTCAGCCTCAGCATCCTAAAGTGCTAGGATTACAGGCCTGTACCGCTGCACCCAGCTTGACCAAGGAAGCTTTTACTAGCTCCTGAGATAAGCCAGCACTCTGGTGGCCTCTGAAGAGCCCAAGAACCTCCAGCAATCTGGATACCCCACTTCAACCTTATTAACAGCAGCTTCACATTTCAGGCCTATCCACTCATCCCAGGCTCCCATGTTGAGTGGCATCCCATGCTTCTCTGCCTCACTGGATTTGATGCAGCTCATGTGAAGTTATTTTGGCCTTAGTTTTTATTCATTTGAGGGTTCTCAGGAGGGGTGAGGAGACAAGTTTGGATTCTCTCTGCTGGGTCCGGTTCACTTGGCTATGGCAGAGAGCCACCTGGTGGGTGCTCCCTGCCCTGCAGCTGAGGAGAGGAAGCTAATATTGGGGAGGGATCAGAGCGGTGTCCAGAAGAGAACTGAAGGGAATATGAAGACAACCAAGCTCAGTTTAGCAAACGCTAAATACTTCTTCCCCCAGAAACACCCTTTGATAGTAAACAAATGTTTAGCAGCATCAGGAAAATATAACCACCCCAGCCAGATCGGTGTCTGGTTCTGCTCTGCTGATTGTGAGCTTGGGCCACAGCTTTTAAAAAGCGGGGAAGGGGGGGTGTTGCATGTGTCTCCTCTGCCAAACCTTCAGAAGTGACTGCTACCTGGCTGTATTTCCTTACCTTGCACTCTGCAACTCACTCCAATCTCATTTCTAGTCAAGAGTCACCAAAGTATTTTCAAGTCTGTCTCACTAAAACTTAATTCCATAAACATTTTTTTGAGACAGGGTCTCAATATGCAGTTTAGACTGGCCTGTATAGCCTGTGATCCTCCGGCCTCAGCCTCAAGTGCTGGGATTATAGGCATGCACCACCACCCCTAGCACTCCCTAAACTATCCTCTTGATTCTTCCTGTCCTTCCAATTACGCATTAACTTCTTTAGAGGTTAGGAGCTAGGGAGCTCTTGCTATGTAGTTCAGGCTGGCCCTGAACTATGTAGCCCAGATCAGCCTTGAATTAGTAGTAATCCTCCCTCACCTCCTGAGTTGCTGGGATTACAAGCAAAAACCACTATGCCTGGCCCTTATTTTCCCTAACGGACTTTTTCTCTTTGACTCAGTCTGATTTGTACATCTGACATTAATGATTCTCAAGTCTGTCTTTGAAGCTTCAAATTTCCTTATCCAACTACCTACTTGGCCTCTCTACCTATCTGTACTACAGAAACCTCAGAAACACCAGCCATGCCTGAATCATCACTACCAAGCAAGCCTCTTTTGTAATTATCAGTTAATAATTTACCCAGCCACCCAATCAAGCAAAAACTGGGCACCACCCTTGAATATCCTTCTACCCTTGAATCTTCATTCAAGCGGTGCTGCTTGTATATCCCTCTCACTTCTTGCCTGGATGACTAAAACAGCCAAGCTGGTCTTGTGGTCCCACCTACCCACACAGAAGCTTGGGAGTGTTCTGTTTTCAGACAGGATCTCCTGCTGCAGTTCAGGCTGGCCTTGAGCTCACTTTGTAGCCCAGGCTGGTCTTGAACTCAAAATGATCTTGCTTCGACCTCCTGAGTGCTAAGATTACCCGCCTGTGCCACCATGTCCAGCCAGTGATGTTTCAAGTGAAAATTCTGAATCATTTCCTTTGCTTTAAACATACTGGTGGCTTCCCATCGCATATAAGATAAAGCTAGAGGGCTGGTGAGATGGCTCAGTGGTCTAAAGCACCTACTTAGAACAAGCTAAGCTAAGCAAAGCCCAGGGACCGTGGTTCAATCCCCCAGCACCACATGCCAGCCAGCCCTGCCCCCTGGTGGGCTGAGCTGGCCACACACACAAAATAAATAAAGAAATAAATATTAAAAAAAAAAAAAGATAAAGCTAGAGATCCTTAGCCTGGCATTTAAGACAAGTGACTCCTTTTTCCTCCTTGTCCCCTTGGGACATATGCACGAGGGGTGTGCACCTTTGCTAACCCTTTCTACATGTCTTTGCTTAGCTAACATCTTTTGGTTCAAGTCTAACAACTCTGGGTTTTAATTTCTTCATCTCTTAAGATGTGAGTGGGGTTCCCCTTCCCTCATTCTCACGTCAGACTGGTATACAGAGGACTCTGGGACAGAATACACAGTCAGACCACCTGACCTGGAAAGCCAAGAGCCTGAGATGACACCTTTGGCCCTTCGTTTAAACAACTCTGGAGAGCCTGGGGCGATAGCTCACTAGAATAAGCACCTGCCTGGCAAGCGCAGGGTCCTGAGTTCAATCCCCGGTACTGCAAAAATACATAAACTCTGGGGCCACAGAGACAACTCAGTGGTTTAAGCGCCTGCCTGGCAAGTGCCAGGACAGGGATCCCCGGCACCACATGCTGTACGAGCTGCATAGTGAGGCTCTGTGCTAAATACATAAATGTAAAGAAAACACAAACAACTGACTGCTGCAACCCATCAGCTCATCTTCCCAGCTGTGCTCCTTCCCACTCTCTAAAGCCAGAAAAGCAAAGATGACATACCCAGGCCTCACTCTGTCCTCACAGATCTGCTTAGTGAGGAGCCAAGGACTGGGCTACGACCACTGAAGCATTCAAAGTCAGGGAAGTCACTGACCCAGTCCTTGTGGCTGAACAACAATGTCCTCAGTGACCTGAGAGATTTCACCCAGGTGGTTTCACAGCTGCTGGAGCATCCAGAGAACCTGGCCTGGATCGACCTGTCCTTCAATGATCTGACTTCCATTGACCCTGTGAGTTCCTAGCCCTGGGAGTCTGGAGTGGGGTGGAGGTAGGGGGTCCTGAGATGCTCTGGCCTCTCCACTGTCATGTCCTACCAGGGAGTAGAGCGGCAGCATGGTGTGGTCCAAAGCACATAACTATGGGGCTGCCAAGATGGAGATTCAGATCCTGCATTTGCCTATCTCTTTGGGCAGTCTCTCAAAGTCTCAGCCTTGGGTGAGCATGTTGGTGCACACCTGTATTCCAGAACTCTGGGAAGCTGAAGCAGGAGGTTTACAAGTTTTGAGCCCAGCCTGTGCAGTTCAGTGGTTTAGGGAAGCCATTTCAAAATTGAAGGGCTATAGATGTAGCTCAGTCCAAAGGCCCTATCTTCAGTCCCTCTACTGCAAACCAAGCCATACCACCTTGCCCTGTTTTCTGAAAAATGTGGATAATGTGTCAGCATCATAAAGGTTTTGTAAGCATTAAATGAAAGTAACACGAGTAGATACAGAACTGCCGCTGTTGGGTACTCACTGTTTTGTGCCGAGTTTTGCCGTGGAAGAGGTAGTAAGAAACGTACATCACTTACTTGGCTGAAAAATCTAATTCAGATTTGAAGAAATAGGGGGCCTGCCCCTTAGCTCAGTTCTTTAAGTGGCTGCTTCAAAGCAGTCAGGCTCAGATTGCTGTGGTTCGATCCCCACAACTGAAGCCAGCCAAACCTGCCCTGAAGGCATTCGGAGCAAAAAATAAAATAAACAAAATGTGGCCCCTTCTTACCAGGATCCCTGTTAGCAGGGCAAGGGGCTGAGGCAAGACTTGGAGATTTACCCTGGTACAGTAGTCTTACTTCAAGTATCTTAAAAACTTTCCTTATGTGCCTAGCATGACACACTATTCCTTTCTCCTGCTGACACCAACCCTTCAGTCACAGTGAAAGGGCAAGTTAGGATCAGAGAGACGAAGGCAGTGCTGAGACCCAGGGCCTATACCTGCTGCCTACCAGGTCACAGTTCTTTACTGTGATAGCCCTGTGTCTCTTAAAAGTAAATGCAAGTGTGGAGTCACAAAGTAAGGGTTGGAGAGAAGAGCAGGTGGTTCTCTGAACTTCCTTCTCTGCCAGTCAATCCTGAGCAGAGGGACCGAGGGTCCTATCCAGCCTGGCTTCTGGGTTCCTCCTAACAGGTCCTAACGACAGTCTTCAACCTGAGTGTCCTCTATCTTCATGGCAACAGCATCCAGCGCCTGGGGGAGGTGAACAAACTAGCTGTCCTCCCTCGGCTCCGGAGCTTGACACTCCATGGGAACCCCATAGAGGAAGAGAAGGGGTACAGGTAAGTGTCCTGTACCTGGAGCTGGGGTCCAGCTGGGCTCCTTTGAAGGATGAAGGAAGACAAACCTAAAATAATTCTGCTACTAGTGGACCTGAACAAGGAGTAGCAGACCTCAAAGCGTTTGCTGTGAGGATGAACTAGTGTCCCCACACCACACTCTATAGTCTCCAGAGGAGCTGGCAGCACCTGAAGGAGGCAGAGATGAAGGGGGCTGTGCCTGTGATCTTCCCCACAGGCAATATGTGCTGTGTAGTGTGCCCCGCATCACCACGTTCGACTTCAGTGGGGTTACCAAATCGGACCGTACCACAGCTGAGGTCTGGAAACGCATGAACATCAGGCCCAAGAAGACCCACCTCAAGGAGAACATACTCTGATCTGAGCTCCTCAGGTGTAGAGCCCAGAGGATAGTCAACTTGGCTTAACAATAAATGATTTGAGCTGTTGAGATGATTAGAATTCATTTGTACCTTGTTTGAATGTCCTCCAACTCCAGCAACCATCTGTAGCTCTAGTCTTACTTAACCAAAAAAGGCCATGGCAGAAAAGCCCTGCTGGCCTGGGATACAGGAGAGCTGGCTTCCACCACATGGCCTTGGGCTACTCATCCAGCCTCTCCAGGCCTCTTTGTACTCTTCAGTTTAGATAGCATAGAACTAGAATAGATGGTTGCTTTCCAAGTTCTTCGGAGTGCCAGGGTGTTTGGAGCTGCCTCCGAGGCCTCTGTGACAGGCCTGGAAGATGGGCTGTGATCCACTCTAGTCAGATTACTCTGTTCTACTTTGTTTAAGATTTCATTTGGCCTGTGGTGCATTCCCAGCACTTGGGAGGCTCAGGGAAGATGACTGTCCTGAGTATTAAGCCAGCCTGGGCCACATAGTAAGTTCAATGCTAGCATGGATTACTAAGACCTTGTCTCAAAAACAAAACCAGGCATCATGCCAACATGCCTGTAATCCAAATACTCAGGAGGCTGAGGCAAGAGGATTGACACAAGTTCAAGTCCAGCCTGAACTACATAGTCCGTCTTAAAAAAACAAAGCAAAAGTGTCCTAGGCAGAGCCTAGTCTTCACCAAAAACTGAGGACTCAGTATTTTCACTGCGCCTGAAGCAGGGTCCTCAATGGCACAGATGCCTCAGATTCAAGACTGCTCAGCCTTGATGATATTCTTACCCAGTCTTAGGACCTGGAACCCTGAATCCTTATTCCTAGATTCCTCTCTATTGCCCCTTGTGTTCCCTTGCCTGGTCTCACTGCCCACAGATCTGAGTAGTCAGAAGTACTAGGGCGGTGGGTAGGAGGACAGAGGGGCTGGAACCAGCACACAATGAATACACTTCCTTTATCAAGGGTGACAAAAACAAAAAGACCAAACATGTAAAAACCCAGGGTGCTAGAAATACAAACTCCATTCAAATTCAAGCTCATCCAGACCCTGGTCACAAACCCTAGTGAGGTGCATGGAAGCACCAAGTCAGGGAGAGGGGGACTGGAGTGAATGATCTGAGGCCAAGAGAAAGGGTGGGAAGGGGATCTCCAGGTCCCCTGTTGTTCACCCCCACAGTGGTATCTCTGCCTTCCCAATGACTGGCATACCTACTAGGCCCTGTCCTCTTGGCCCCCACCCGACCTCGGCCAGGGCCTCGAAGGCCAGTCCCAAAGGTTCTACCCCCCTTGCTGCGTCCTCACTTGCTCGAGCTTCTACTCTTGCTCTTCTCCACATTCTTCTCTGTGATTAGTAGTAGGTTAGGGTACTGTTTAAGCCGCAGTGAGGCTGGGACCAGGGGAGTTGTGGTGGAGCCAGGCTGAAGAGAGGAGAAGAGCTGTCCATGGACCCCTCTCTTCATGGGATCCCAAACTGTACAACCAGCTCCTCTTTTGCGTCCACACGGATCTGAGAAAGTGCACTGTAGGCATAAGCAGCTATTCTGGAGACCTG